GGGCCGCAGGGGGAAAGGAATGCAGTAATAAATTAAAATAAGCATTGTTTCATCTTTAAATAAGTAAATTATCCTTAACTTTGTCCAACAGTTGTGAACCAGTGGGCAGTATATGCTATCCGAAATCTGACTGAACAGAATGAGAGAAACCAAGAGCTTATTGCGCAGATGGAAGAGAAGGGGCTGGCAGACAATTCTGCCCTTGAGAGTATGGGTTTAGAGATAGAGAAACAAGATGACAAGTTAATTCTGAGATCTGTCAGGAAAAAGCCCTCGTGATCAAAACATTAAGAACAGTCAAATCATTAAAAGAGGATTTCTCTTTAAAAATATTTTTCCCTGCTCAGGCAATCAAGATTTCTTCAGTTTTAGCTCCAGTCTGCTGGAAGTGCTACGTTCATTGTCAGAAAAACTGCCAAATGATACTTCTGCCTCACCGTTGTAAACAAAAGGACACCTACACGTTTTCTGAATACCTAGGTAAATTAACCTATGGAAAAAGATCCTTCTTTTCAGATGGTTGAAATTTCATTACTTTCTTGTTTCGTTAGTAGAAAGATGTCATGCGTGCAGTATTGAGTTGTTACAATTTCCATTGCTGAACCTGGAGATAACTATCATTAAAAACTCAACAAAGATATAGCTGCTTTGCAGTCTGCCTTCTCCATTTAAAAGATCTGTGCTGAGTCAGGGCTAAACAATTAAAGTTACTCATTTTCAATCATCGTGCTTAAATATCTCTGCTTATATAAGGATCAGTGGAACATTGGGTGTACATGAATATTTAGTGAATTAAACACAACATGCCTTCTGTGTATTTAAATTATTAGTAAATTGTCTTTTCTACCTTGTTACCTTTCAGTCTTCATGACAAGTGTATTAAAAACAATGCTGAAGCTGTTGTGGCAACAGATGCTACATTCCTTTGCACTGGGGCATGTCTCTGTTTTGGAGACTTGGGTGTTTGTTTGAATTTTATTTGTTCCTTTGGATAGTAAGTCAGCCCACTTTCCTTTTATTTTGCACTTCTCATGGGTTTTCTGAACTCTGGCAGACTGCTGAAGAGGTAGTTTCTCACTGTGATTAATTCTAGCAGTTTCTTTTCACCCCTCTGCCTTTCCAAAACATTGACAAAACTCATTTCCAGTTAATTAATTCAAGAGAGGCAGAAGAATGGAAGGCCCTGCCGGGTGGGGGGGCACGGTTAACTCTGTGTGTGCCATAGCTTTGCCCTGGTAGCCAAGAAACGTAATCCTCCGTGCCTAAGCAAAACAAGAATTACAGCTTGATATTATTAGTGCTTGTATATCCTTGCTGTCATTTGGTTATCTTCAGTTGTGTCTTAACAGGAAGGTCCCAGAAAAGTTGAATTGTTCGTGTTGTTGTCATCATTTGATGCCATTCTTAAATGGAAAGGCAGGTTTATGTCCTAAAACTACATGTACGTGTAATGGACACTCAGCCATGTGTATCAGCTTTTGCTCCTCCAATTCGTTTTTTGATTTAAAAATGGAAAAAAAACCACGTGGTACCTTGAAATATTAGAAATATATAGTAATGCTTAAAACTGATGGGGAGTATAGCCGGACTATAACCATAAAATTCCAGTGTCTACCATGCTGACCAGGTGGGACTATGGAATTGACCTAGTGGGATCTTGTCACCTGTTGGTTTTAAAGCAATGATATAAAACTGCTCTCTTCGGATGTTTATTAAGTAAAGGATGTATATAAAGGGATAATGGCAATAGGAACAAAGACTATAACTTTTGTTGCTTGTAGTGACTTCTTACTTTAAAAACAAATGGGGGAGAAAAGGGTTCTTTGAGCAAAGAATAAATGTGAATATAAGCAAAGTGCTTTATTTGCTTTTTAAAAATAATTTGACAGGAAACATTTCAGAGGATATTAAAAACTGTTGTGTTTAAGTGCTGGTTTATAAAGTCACTTCTTTACACAGGTAGGTGCCTTTTGCTAGCTGAATGGAAAAGGATATAAGTTTTTGGTTCTTCTTGAGCACATGGTCTGTCAGATTGTGATTTCTCAATGGTTTCCGTAAGCCTTAATTCTTGTGTTTAAGCCAGAATTCATTTAGCAGTTTAATTACTGTGTCACATAAGACTTACAGCTGGTTTTGTTTGGGTTTTTTAATCTTCATCTCCATAACACAATGGAAAATTCATACTCCTAGCACCTAAATGGCAAAAAATAGAATTCTCCTCTTTAAAAACAAAAAATTGTTTTATTCCGAAGGCTACATCATTCAACTTTAAAAGGAAATAATTTAATTTTTGCTAACAAAGGAGCATCAAATAGAATAGCACCTAGAAATAAAGTGTAGTAGTTTTCAGTTGAGTAATTATAAAACCTCAAGCATTTTTACTTTAGCACTGCTACTTAGGAAACTCATGTTAAATAATTTAACAAAGTGAGAAAAGGAAGAAAAAAAAAAGTTATCCTGAAAAGAAAATGAACTTTGTTTAGGGGAAAAATGCAAAGAATTTCTTCCTATTTAGGCTAATAAAGAGTTAAAATCCGGTTCACAAAGCAAATCCAGAAAGAACTTCGGTTGTGGAAAAAGCAGTGGGAGTCCCTTTTTCCTTTTAAGCAGTTGGGAATAGACTTTTTTTTTTTTAACTTGATGCTTGTGTACCCACCAATGGAATACGCACAAACCCATAAATATAAGCCAAATCATAACAAACACAAATAAATAAAAGGGTTTTGTGTGTTTCCGTACATAATGGAGTAATAGTTGTGTTTTCTAAATGGGAAATGTAGTGCTTTCACAGTGGAGAACATGCTGATTACTGTATTGTGAGTGGCTGGCTTTTGATTTTCCTAGATGGATTAATTCTCAGAACACAACAGCTTCCCTGTCCTCCCCCAGTGGAGTCCCAGTCTCCAATAGGCTTGTTTTATATGCTAGGGGATTAATACAGCACAGCAATCAGTCATAAAAAAGCAAGCTTTATTGAGTTTGTAAAGGGGCAGAACAGTCAGATCAAGTCTTGTGACCATCTTATTGCTTTCGAGTGCTTTCAAACAATAGTGATCAGGTCTTTTTTTTTGAGGTCTATTTGTTATTAAAAGGGAATAGGGAGTTGGTTTTTCATCATAAGTGGACAGATTTTTAAAGACCTTTCTTGCAAATTGTGGGAAGTAAGCTTAAATGTTTGCAAAGTTCTGAATTTTTACTGCTTCTAATAATTTAGGTTTGTTTTGCCTAAAGCGCTTGTAAAATAAATTTTTAAATGCAACCAAGAAAAAACAAAAGCCCAGGCAGTTAATGCCATTGTCACAATCTTTATATAGCGGTTGATTCTATATTTTGAGGTTCGTGTGTTTGCATGGTGAGACTCTGAAAACTCCCCTTTATTTGCAAATGAAGAAGTATTAAAAATGTGAGGCTGTACCCAAAATTACCGTAAATCTTGGTTTGTACCTAGCCTTATCTCTATCATTGTTTTATGTTGACTTAGAATTTGCTGTCTGCTTACAGTAGACTTCTTCGTGGTAAATGTTGGGGGGGAGGGCGGAAATTTCTGAAGTAAAGCAGAACAGAATTTCCCTTCCTTTTTCGCTTCCTTCTTAAAATCGCTAAGGCTTCCTTACGCGATACGCCGGGGCCGGCGCGGCGGAGCTCCGCCTCGGTGGCGTCCCTCCAGTGCTGTCCAAGGTTCTGATGAAACCGGCCATGTCTCGGCAGCGGGAGAGCTCTGCGAACCTCCCGCCTCCTTCCCCGCGGCGGCAATTTCATAGCTCAGGTGCCACTGTTTGCCTTCGAGTTTCTCTCTAAAGGAAGTACGCTGAGGTCTCAGCTGCGCGATAGTGTGCGTGCTCGTTTTAAAGTATACCCGAAGACGAGCGCTTCTTACTCTGTTACATGTGGAAGATATTTAGGTCTTTGTTGTTTATGGGCAGACCTGTTTAGCAGTGTCTCTGTTTGGGGTTAAATGATGCTTTCCATATTAAGATCCGGTTCCAGTTGCTTGTAGCTTGGCCAAATCGTAACCATTCCAGTGGAAATTTTCCGTGCTGCTTTAGGCTTAATTGGTTTCTTTATGGGAACTTTCTCTCACAGTGATTTCTGATAAGATCTGGTAATTTACGAGGATGAGAAACTAGCATTGGCTTTTGTATATGTTAGTAGTATCCCTAAAATAATTTTTTAAGACTATATCTATTTCCAATATAAATGAGGGTTATGCATTTTCCTCTGTCATAATCCAGTCCAAATTTGGCCACATTGTAAGCTCTGGAAATCCTTGGTTTGTACATTGTAAGTAGAGACTTGTGAGAGCTGAGCTACTAAATTTGCTGAATTTGCTTTTGCGTTGTCTCTGTTCCAGTCATGAATCCAGGGTCTGTACAGGGCTTTTTCAACAGCTCTTGCTCCTCACTAGGGTGGTGCTGGCAAAAGAAATCGAGAACTGAGGGATTCTCTGCACTTCTCTCTGAGCTGCCTGGTGATGTCTGTCTAACATGGAGTAAAGAACTGCTTAGGCTGGAGATGGCAGCAACAAATAAAAACAGATCTCAGAGGATGAGAGAGGGAGAGTAGTTCAGGTCCAAGAGAGAACTTCTAGATGATGGGGAACATTTTATCAGTCTGTTCGTAAAACAAACGAGGGAGTATAATTATTTTACATCATTCCTCCTAGACTCTGACAGTTGCAGAAGTTTGCTATCCAAAAGGTATCCTTTAGGAAGAGCCTCCCCTCTCCAGACTAAGATCAAAGCAATGTCCACTTTCACCCCAAATTTATTTTGGACAGGATTGGATCTGTACTGCTTTTAATTGCCTTATTGGAATCGAGGATGCTCTGCTCTCTGGCTCAGCGTTTTCTGCAGCCGTACAGCTTACTCTAAAAGTAGTATATGGTTCAGAAAATACTTAAATAGTTAAAATATTTAGATCAAAAACAGAAAATATATAAATAAATCAAGAATTCTAATTTTCATGTCTTTTCATAGGAAAGGAAAAAGCAGCTGGAGGTAAAGACAGGTGGAAGTCCAGAGCATTTAGAGTTAACCTCATCCTCTTTTTGCTGCGTGGCATCTCACCTCAGTTCAGAAGCACAGCTAACGCCTCACCAATAGTGATATAGAGACATCACTGAAGCTCCATTAGTAAGATGCACTGTAATTTGCCTTTGGTCTCATTTAAACTTCAGGTGACTCCCATAACATATTTATGCTAAACTTAAAAGTTTCCTGTTGTTTTTGAGTACAAGCAAACATAAGTTTAGAGAGACAATAGCACGAAAGGGATTTCTG